TTTTTTTTTTTTGTTACTGAGCAAAAAGGAAAGTGTAGGCGTACTTTTATACATTTGTTCCAACTCCCATGATACCTCGCAAGCGTTGAGGGACTCGTCCACGTGGCCTGGTGAACAGTAGTTTTTGTCAAGTCATTCGGTGGCAGCCATTTTGCGTTGTGTTTAGTGGAAAAAGTATTTTTCAAGCAAGATGCCTGGCCCAGAAGAACCTATATCAACAGTTGTTATTCACCCGATAGTTCTGTTAAGTGTTGTAGATCATTTTAATCGCATGGGGAAAGTAGGCAGTCAAAAACGAGTGGTTGGAGTCCTGTTGGGTTCCCGAAGAAAGGGAGTATTGGACGTGTCTAACAGTTTTGCTGGTAGGTTGGATTCTATCTGTAGTCTGTAGGTATACGTAATATTTGTATGTGATTGTTCTGAAAAATGATCTTGAAATACCTGTTCTTTCAAACGTTTATGTTTATAAGACCTAGTAATATATCCAAATCTATTTAACAGTTTTAGTAGTCTAACTGTTCTCGTTTTAGAGCTTTCAAACTTAGGCTTGTCAAAATATTATATAACTTACTCGTGATTACTGGTTTTGTGCTATGTTACTATCAGTTGATGATGCATTATTTGTCTAGTTCCTTTTGATGAAGATGATCGTGATCCAAATGTCTGGTTTCTTGACCATGACTACCTTGAAAACATGTATGCAATGTTTAAAAAAGTCAATGGTAAGTTGTCTGAGCCTTTCTCACTCTACTTGATATAAGTGTCTGTCATGTGTCAATCCAAGCCAAAAGAAGCAAACAAGACAACAATTATACACACTTTTACTTGGGCGCCTGTGACAGCCCAGTAAATCGCCCTGTTTTTTGAGGGTAGCACTTAAAAGCCAATGGCTAACAAACGCCAACTGGTCACCCTCATTTTATGATCAAATTGGAATTTAGAAGTAGATTTTTGTGAAGGGAGAAATAATGGAGAAACTAGAGAAAAACTATCAAAGTACAGGAAAGAACCAACTAGAAACTACTCCATGAATTGCACCGTCGCTGTTGTACCACTACACCATCCATGCTTCCCATATAAAAATGTCTTTTGTTCTTCTATCTGTTATCCTTGACCAGTGTGCCTTAACCCTCCGCAACTGGACAGAAAGAGAGTATGGGTAGAAAAGGTAAATTTTGAATTTATTTTTCTTTCAGCAAGAGAAAGGATTGTCGGCTGGTATCACACAGGGCCAAAGCTAAATAGCAACGATATTAAGATTAATGAACTTGTTAAAAGATATTGTGCCAACTCCGTAAGTACCAACTACACTGACAGTATGCTGCATAGAACAAATTCAAAAATCATTGCCATGTTCAGAAGGGTAAATCATTGAAACTGGGTATGCTGGGTAGCCTATATCCTAGRCATTTGAAGAGTATTCTCATACATACCACTTTTTCAATTTATTACAGACATATGCATGAAGAGTAACTTGAATCTATGTTCAATAGTTGCAAAACTTAAATATGCATGCTATAAGCCTATTATCTGTTTACCCAGAAACCACCTTGGTCCTAGCTTCAATTATTAAACCCAATAACGATTTTTGAATTTGGTTCATATTACAGAAACGTTCGGCGCGCGGTGCGCTCAAGTGGAAATTGCTGTAAGAAGAGGAGACAATGTTTTGCCACTAATTATAAACGTGTTCTCACGGGAAGCTCAAAGTGAGCAACAGGCAGATTTAAAATAAATTACTGCTTAACCAATCAGAGACACTGTTCACACACATGAAATAGAGAGGGTATTGTAGTCGTTAGTGGAAGAGGGTTACAATTGCAAAAGTGCAATCAAAATATTAAATTTAAAATATTCTTTGACCGTAAGGTTGATGAAAACGATGAAATAGTGGACTTATCGATATCCCCCGCTTCCTTTTTGCTTTACAAATTCATTTAGTGGATGTAAGACTCTTATGATAATTTTAACTAGCAACATTTTTAAAACTTCGACTTACAACCAAACTCCCTTCCCTGAACTTCATGTGAGAATGCTTGTAATTAGAGCCGAAACATTGTCTCATCCCCTAAGAACATTTGACATTCAATCTAACAAGGAGACGTTCAAATAATTAAGTTCTCTACAGTCATGCATGGACTGTACAGAGGCGTGCGCCTTTACATGCTTTGACCGTGTTGAGCTGCACCACTGCTGTAACTTGCAGTTTGCAGTGATAATAAGCAATTACAAGTTTTTTTATAATATCTATATGATTTTTAGGTCTTAGTAATCATAGATGCCAAACCACGGGATCTTGGTTTACCAACCGATGCATACGTAGCTGTTGAGGAAGTCCATGATGTAAGCATGTTCTCATATTTTGATGAATCATAACAGCTGATATTGTAATCGTATAATACATGGCTCATTTGTTATAGGATGGTACTCCAACGACAAGGACGTTTGAACATATTCCAAGTGAAATAGGTGCAGAAGAGGCAGAGGAAGTAGGCGTAGAGCATCTTCTCAGGTGTGCTATCTCAAATGCTTGGATATATGTTTATTCAAATATTACTTTTCTTAAGAGAAATACTAACTTAGCAATTTCTTTGTGAATCAATAAATCAAGGAAATGAAGTCCCAATTTGATATCATAATGATAAAGTTTACATATTCTTGAATGAATATTGAAATGATTCTTGAATATTACAATTGATGTGAAATTAATGCACATGAAACAGGCAGCATGCACATACTAAACAAAATAAATAGCTGGAAAACTCCAATGAACCGGAAGCCAGATTCTGGTTGTCGCACATGTGCATTAACTAATTTAAACTGGAAGTTAAGCACTACCAATTGACAAAAACAAAATGGCGGACTGTCATGTACTGAAGCCGTTATGATTGCCCATTGCTCTAAATAAAATTGGCTTTGAAGATAGGTTTAAGCACAAAATGATGCTTAAGTTGTGTTTGTCAACTGGATACAGCAAATCCTAAGTGTATAATTTACGAGGTCAGAAATATTAGAGTTTTTCTGGGTATTGTGAATTTCCTAAAATTTGATGCAATTTTTAATTCCTGCAATTTTCTTTTGAAAAGTTGTCAAAATAGTAATATTCAATTTATTGTATTAGTTTACCTTGAAAACAAGCTCAGGACACCCAATTTTCTTTCCTTTGTTTGAAATGTTAAATTCTTCGTAAAACAAAAAAGATTTTTATGAAATGTTATGCTCATTTTTTGCTAAAGTAATTAGCCACCTTAAAAATGCCATGGAAATAGTGATATTTTTTACTGATTTATTTGATTGCCATTTCTTTAGGGACATCAAAAATCTAACTGCAGGAACTCTGTCACAGCGCATCACTAATCAGCTCAACTCACTCAAAGGTCTTCATGCTCGCCTTTGTGACATAAGGGATTACCTTGAAAAAGTTGCTACTGGCAACCTTCCAGTAAATCATGCTATTATCTATGAATTACAGGATGTGTTCAACTTACTGCCTAATTTGAATATTGAAGAATTCTTCAAATCTGTGACAGTTGTGACAAATGACCAAATGATGGTTATTTATGTTGCATCACTCATGCGTRCTATTATTGCCTTACATAACTTGATTAGTAATAAAGTCACAAACAGAGATGCTGAAAAAGATGAAACAATGAAAAAGGATGAGAAGAGTAAAGAGAAAGAAAAGGACAAAGACAAAGACAAAGACACCAAAGAAAAAGAAGACAAAAGCAAGGAAAAGGATACCAAAAAATAAGAACATTTAAGACAATAATTATTGTTTATTGTTTACTACTGTTCTTAAGTTATGAATGTATCGTTTTTCTTAGTTAATATGTTGACTATTGACTAGTAAATACTATATTGGATTACATCATCGTTTATTCTAGCATTTGTTTATCTCTGACAGGTTTGATTCCCAACTGAACCACATATGTTAGTTGAATTCTTTTGATGTGTTGACCCTTTTCCACAAGGGTTTTTCTTTGGTTATTATCCCTCCATAAAAATGAACATGAGAGAGTTGAGTGCTGTGTGTTGTAAATATGTAGCGGTGGGCAACATGGTGGACATTTGATGTGGACTTCATATGAAATATTTTATGACATTAAAATTCTACTCTAAATATAATCTAAGAGTAATTACAATACATGTAGCTATGAGATGGTAATGTTTCGACATTTTTGGATCTAAGTTGCTTGGTTCGGTTGGGTTAATACATTTTTTTAAACTTCTGTCTTGGGTTCCCTGTGGTATTTCTGTGCAGAGGTTTCTGGGTTCCATCCAGGCGAGGGGAGCAACACTTCGTCCATGCTGAGAGCGGTCTTTATAAGTCGATCTCTGCAGAGTCTTTGCAAGTTACAGCAACTTAAAGCGTATTCTGATACTGGAATGTCTTTGGTTACTGTTCGTTGTCTTGAGAGTGAGGATTTTATGACAATATCGTTTACTCACGATGGGAAACAAAGGAACATGCAGCGACCTAAAGCAGAAACTTTAGAGAAGTGCCTCAACAGAATCAACTTGTCCATTCAAAATAGAAAAGTGAAAGAAAAGAAACGGAAACAAGAAGTTAGAGATAATAGCATTCCAAGCTTATGTGCATCTCTTTGGAATCAAGGGGAAAAATTAAATGAAAATACTGYAAATACAGAAGCTTGGAAAGACGGTTGTGAACTGAAAATAGGAGAAAGGTCTTTGAGGGTTGAAGTAAACCCTCCTGCGATAGCACATTTGGCTCTTCCAAGTCACATCATGGCCAAATTTCCAATCTTCCCCGAGATGGAACTTCAATTTGCCGATGTAAACCATTGTATTTTTGAGTGGTTTCGTTCCAGAAATCCTTGTACTAGTAAATGCTCTGCCAGTGCCAGTCCAACTATGCCAACAGAATGGGAAAAGGTTGGAAGTGATTTCTTTGTTAACCCAAGTGTATCAGATATTGGTTGTTACATCAAAGTTGAATGTACTGCTGCAAGACACAACAAAATAAGCAGTATGAAATCAGAGGTTACAAGTTGCGTAAAGGTATCTGCAGGACCTGGGATTTGTCCATTTGAAAATCGTCATCTTTATACATCCAAGAAACTTGGAAATGGAGGTTTCAGGCTTGCTTGTTATAACATACTTGCAGATATCTATTCTAGAGAAGATTTTGCAATTAATTTCCTATATCCTTACTGTCCTCCTTATGCTTTGGATATTGGTTATCGTAAACAAATTCTCCTGAGAGAATTGACTGGCTACAATGCAGATGTATTGTGTTTGCAGGAGTGTGGTGTGCAAATGTTCAATGGTTTCCTCAAACAGTCCATGGAAATGCTCGGGTATCATGGAATGATGAAACCAAAGGCTGGTGGTGTCCCTGAAGGAGAAGCAATCTTTTTTAATGTTGACAAATTTGAGTTTGTTAGCAGCCATGATATCGTGCTAAAAGAATCACTCTTGGAAGATCCAGTTAATAAAGAACTACTTCATCATTTGTCATCCATTCCAGCATTCTTGGAAAACTTGCTAAAGAAAAATACAGTTGCTCAAATTGCTATACTAAAAGACAAAAGTATAATGAGCCAACATTTATGCATAGTCAATACACATCTTTTTTTTAAGCCTAATTATCCACACATTAGACTTATTCAAGCAGCAATCATCTTGAACCAAATAAAGAAAGTGGTGGACAATTTTTTGTTTCCTGTTGAATTATGTACAACAACAGGCTCACTCAATCCAGATGTTGTAAAGACTGAAGAACATTCAGAAAATGAATTAACTAACAACAAGATAGCTGTACTTTTTTGTGGAGATTTTAACAGCATGCCAAATACTGGACTAGTTCAGTTGCTTTTGAATGGAAGTGTTCCTGCTGACCACCAGGACTGGAAAGTTACTGAAGAAGAAGACCAACATTGTACCACAATCAACCTTTCACATGACTTCCAATTATTCAGTGCTTGTGGAAATCTGCCATTTACTAACTTTACTTCTGGTTTCCAAGATACTGTTGATTATATCTTTTGCGATTCACAGCAAATTGAAGTAGATTCAGTTATTCCATTGCCATCAGAAGAAGAATTGTCATTGCACACAGCTCTACCCTCAGTTGTAATGCCATCTGATCATCTTGCTCTAGTTTGTGATCTCAAATGGAAAACAGTGTGAAAAAACCCTAAACAAACTCGATGGTCAAAGCTGAAACATTTCATAGTAAACTGTCATCAGCTATATAGACAAGAAGTTGTAATTTTTGAATCATAGTTTTCTCATAAAATGAATAGGCAATTAGAAGGGTCAATATGCCTAGTTGTTAAAAGTGACAAATAATTTGTTTGAGAATATCTTTGTGCTATAGTTGAGAATATCTTTGTGCCATTGTAAATATGTAAAAATTCAACTTTCAAACTTGTCTGACAATAATGGTGTTTAATTCAGAAAATGTTCAGAAATGCATGCATGCATTTTGTTTTTCAATTTTAACATCTCATTGACTACTCTTAAAACTCCAGTGTATGCAGGCGTAACCTCCAATACCGGAATTGCTTGTTTGTTATTCTAATTTCTGCTTTTGTTTGCAGACCTCAGAAGTGAGGCTAAGCCTGCATACACTGGAGTTTTAAGAGTTGTCAATTCACCAATTACATTCTAGATTGCACATGATGTACTTGATGTTACGGTCACCAAAAATTTACCATTAACATTACCATATTGGACAAAATAGCCTAGCCCACAGTTTCTGCCTTGAATATAAACAAACCATACAAAGATAGTCACAAGTGGAAATACACCAATCTCGTTATTATGCACACAATAATAAAAAAAATTAGTGACTTAAGTTATTAAATTAACTATAATAAATTTTCTACCCTAGGATTGCATGGAATTTTGATTATTACTGACTTTCACGTGATGTCATCAAAAAATAAAATCCAAAATACAGTAATCATTCCACTAAACTGCTTGTTGAATATATTGTTTAAAGCGTTAAAAAAAAGATTTACCAAAATGATTTTGTATTATAAATGTTCAGTTTTTGATTTATTATGACTCCAAATCTCTCACCCAATTCTGTCACACATTTTCAAAGCATCAGAAATAAGGAAATTTGGTTGTAATAATATGTTATTAACTTAATAGATGATTGTTAACTTTATTTTGATGATTATTGTTTGAAAATATTGAAGTGGTTGCAATATAAACATGATTTTCAACCTTTATAGTAATATCTGGCTGCCATCTTTGTGCCCCTCAATAGGACTTTAAGGCGGCAGTCCCATACATTTCAACTAAATTATGAGTATAATCATTCGTTCGTATCTCTGTATCTAAAACTTCTTTTAGCTAGAACATGGGCTGAGATATAGTTTTTGTTGCTCTTTTGGTCTATGAAGTTTTGTTGTATAAAAATGTTCGATGACGTAGAAGAAACCTAATGATTATTCCAGAGTTTTTGTTTCAAAGCCTTTTGACAAATGAAGAAGGGTCCTGATGTAACACAAGAAATTTTGCTGTTTTACTGTAGTTAAATGTTCACATTTCCACGACTCTCAAGGGTGATGTGTTTTGGTTTCTTCCTTGTTAGCAGGTGTCTCATTCAGTGATGATTCTTGGCAGAGAAAAAATCTGCCAAATATTGCCAAGGAAGGAGAATGCTAGCAGGGAAGTTTCCCAGTTTTCGAATAGTATTATGAACAATTGCACTTTTTTCTATGAACTTGACCAAATAAAAGAGCAGGTTCATCACCCATCAGAGTAGGTGGTGGGGTGGGTAAGAAAATGTGGGGGCTTGGAATGTAATTGATCCTGGAAAGGTAGGACCTTTGAATTATTGATGAGTTATATTATAGCAGGGGCAGTGGAAACCCCCCCTGCACGAATTGTTTTGGTGGGACCTGGTCCCCACAAAATATTGGTTTACATGAAATAAATGATGCATAGTTTCGATTTTTATAACTGTTATTAAGTTAACATTTTTTAAAATTAAATAATGAAATGTCCTTTTAATAGTACATAGTTAATAGACCAAATGCAAAATTTGCACCAATGTGAGGCTTAAGTTGTGAACAAAGGGATCTTGCATGATTCGTGACTTTTGTTTCACGCCAGATCCCTCACATCGCCTCACATCGGTGCGAGTTTTGCGTTTGGTCTATTAACTATGTACTATTAAAAGGACATTTCATTATTTAATTTTAAAAAATGTTAAAGAATGAAGAAGACCCGGTCTCAGTGAGTAGAGGAATCAGTGTCAGTTTAACATTGGAGGGACCCCGAAGGTATTTGTAAAAGACAAAACTCACAAGCCTAGTGTAAATACTATTTTTGGTCGTAAAGAAATTCTTCTGTGCTCAGATGAAATGTAGAAAAACTGTTTTAATAGGTACTACAGACCACAGTATACTCGGAGTGTAGTAAGATACAGATCAAGTTCGACCATGAAGTGCCACTGCAAAAATAATGTTTGCACGTGCTTCAAAGTGAACATGTGATTTCTTTCAGCTTTATGATTGGTTCATAAAAGAGGGGACGTCTTGATGGAACAACAAACCAACTTCGAGAAGTAAAGATGAATCTGGCCCAAACGTTTGATCGAATGAGACGTTTATGAAATTTTTGGTTCTGTTATTGGACATCGTTGGTATATTGTGACCAGAAATTGAAGGATTATTGTGTTTTTAAAGTGTTTCAAGACTACAGAACATACAAAATTGTACAAAACATTTGTTATCACAGATCGATTGTCAGTCACGAGACCACTGGTGAAACGGAAGAAGCTTGCTTTGAATATAGTAGATGAAAGTATTCTGCACCTCATGTGCAAAAGATTTTCTATAGATCAAGTGATTTTACGTGGACATGGATAGCGATCAGTTGAGTCGCTCTGATGTAGAAGAAGATGAGTTGACTGACATTGACAGGGGGGTAAGTTTGCACTTGCAAAAAAGTCCTCTAACTTTGTTTATTGTAAAGAATGTGTTTAATTTTTGAATTTTCAACTGAACATGAGTTATGTACCTTAAAGGCAAAGCGACAACTGGTTACTGACACAGAGCAGTTTAGGAAAGTCCTAGATCGACCTTTCGTTGCACCAAGATTAAGTGCCCATGCAACCTCTACCGAGGAAGGTACTCCTACTTCGCATTACGACTACAACTTTGATGAAAAGGATTATAAAAGTAAGTCAAGATTTGCTGGTTTTAAATTCCATTACATGTTTTATTTCGTTTTTATTTCTATAATTTGTGTGTCTTTAACTGCTGCCATTAAAAAATGACGTCTTGAGAGCAGCACTTAATAGCTGTGGCCTCGTTCCATAATGATCGAATTGGAATTTAGGAATCATTTCTTTATTTGTTTTAGCCTATAGCTAGCTTCTGTGCAATGAGGGATGAAATACCGTAAATCCTCTATTAAGCACCCCCCCCCCCTCCTCCGTAAATAAACCCCCCCTTCAAATAAGCCCTCCTGAGAAAGAAATTTATCATATGAGCAATACAGCTCTGTTCATACGCTCTAATAAAACCTTTGGGAAAAGTCATGTGATGTGGTCCGGACAGCTGGTTGACGTGAGCAGGCACCAGAAAAACCTGTCTTGCCCTTCTCCATTTAGGTGCGCTGTATTTATCAATTATAGGAATTTGTTATGACAAAAATAGGGTCATATGACAAAATGCTTATTGACTGAGTTTAGGTCAGGCCAGATGGGAAAAAATACTTGGCTCTTTGTCATTTTTATGGACATTGCTGCACTTGGTCCATACCTCATTAACTTGAGCCAAGTGTTTTCCTAACTTTGCCTCTCACTCAGTCAATATGTACATAATCATGACCCCCCTCTCTTTTAGGCCTCTCCTCCCCTACTCAACTAAAGATATATAGCACTGCATGTGTATGATTAAAGTACTATGATTTATTCACGTCTTGGAAGACAGTTCAGATCAATCACACAAAGATCTTAACATGGGAAAAAATCATGTCATTGTTATTCAACCCTGTGTTTAAAAAAAAGTTATCTTATTATATTCTATCCTCATAGCGCTACATCATACTGTTCTGCTAAATCAATAAGGCCCCCTCTATTTGAGCACTCTATAATAAGCCCCCCTGAAACGTGGCTACATAGATTTATTGATAAATCATTTTATTTATACACAAACGTTGCAGCAGTTCCTATACATTCATAAACAGTAAAATCAAAATACATAAATTTATAAATACAAATTAAGTACGAATAATAAAGATGAATTAATTACTGCTTTACATGAGTCACTGCCATTGTCTTGCCAAGTCTTTGGTTAAAGAGAAATACTCTTTATAACCGGATTTAAAGGACGTAAAGGACTTGGCCTTTCTCAATTCACTCAGCAGGCCATTCCAAAGGAAATAAATAAATAAGACCCCTAGGAAGGCAGTTTAATTTTGACTCAATCGAATTTGAGGCCACCATTTTGGCAAAGGGTCTATTGTGTCTGACGTGTTAAATATACGGGCTGAGGCCGTTAGGCTAAAGCCTGTTTTCAAGATGAAGGCACAGTATTTCCCTACCCAAACCAAATTTAGGATGGTAAACAATTTATTAATAACCCTAACCCCTTTACTTTTCAACTTCTTTAGTAATCATTATCTCATGTGCGCATACAAATGAGTGTTGTCAGGATACTGGATTGCAGGCAGATTCTGAGAAAATAGCAACCACTCAAACAGCCAATCACAATGCACAATTTTTAGTGCCTACTTCGAAGTAGTAGACACTATTGTTAGAATACAGGATTGGAAAAAATAAGACAGTAACTCTCAAGAAAAATAGCTTTGTAATTTTAAAATATCTCTTGTAAACTACCACTCATTTATAATAATTATAATAATATATAAGGTCTTATATAGGGCATCCTAATAAAGGCTGAGGCACTTTACCATAAACTAATTTATGCATATAACATAAATATATATACATTAACACTCGATTGCAGAAACGTTGTAGTATACATTTATACGTATATCTAATTTATTCAGTATATTAATGATATGCAATTTAAACAGAAAAATTGCTTTATTTACTGTTTGTTTCATTCAATAACTGTCAAAATATTTTTTCTTGTCTATTAGATTGTACAGATTATAAATCAGTTGGTTTTAAGTTTTGGAAATGGTTAATTTG